TCATTCATTAATTAAATATAGCATTCCTTTACACGAAGTTATTCGCTAGAAAAATTCGAATACATACTGAATTTTAAATTCAAGTACATCCGGGTGCGGTGTCACAGAAAGTGACACCAACCACAATGACAAGCCGTTTTCGGCCACAATGTCAAAATCGAAAGTACTTCAAAAGTCAACATATCAAAATCGTACTCAAACTAAAATAAAAATAAATACTACTAAAGAAGAAATAATGCTTGAATAAAGCCTTTCCATGCATAAAGCTCTTTCTAACACGGAGGTGGTTTCAAAGGATCGGAGGACGAACTGCTACCATAAGGGTGAACACTAGATTCTTCTTCTTACTTTGTTCTGAAAAGATGTAGAAACGGGTGGAGACACAAACAGTCTTTATGCCACTTCCATACTCTACGGAACTCAAAAGAAGGTAGTTAGAAATCCTTGATTAGACGAAGCTGACCGGGACACATAAACAACTCCTCACATTGAGACAGACAAAACATGCTGGAGCACCATAGCTCGGGAAAAAAAATTATAGAACAGAAAAAACACAACAACAAAAGAAGAGCAGTCAAGCTAAGTCATACTCCTACAAAAAATCTCCACGAGCGATGTTACCTTTAATCTAGCCAGAGAGAGAACAACTACAAGACACCCCTTTTCTTCCCGATTTCCCGCTCATCCCGGTCACGCTAACAACATAGATCTGTAATGCGCTGCTAGGGTTTTAGAGCGCCGCTGCTTAAGAGTGTGACTAGGAGCTCCACGGTATTATGGCTATTGAAAGACCGGACTTTGTACTCTGTATGCTTTGGTTTAAAATTTATTTAATTGTAAAATTTAAAATTTTCAAAGTGATGGAGGGGGTGAATTTATTAATTTTGATATGCAATTTTTTTTTATCGAAAACGGTATCTATTTTCGAAAATCTTGTCTAGACACCCCTCAACAAAATGGGATTGTTGAGCGAAAACTTTGTCATCTCGTAGAGCTGACTAGGACTATGCTTCTTGAAGCATGTATTGCTAGTCATTTTTGGCTTTATTTTATTTTTAGTGTTGCTTAAATTATTAACCATTTACTTTCTCCACTTCTTTTTGATTTATCTCCACATGAAAAAAAATTACAAAGCTTCAGATTACTCCTTTTTGCGTGTTTTCAGATGTTCCCGTTGTCTGTGTTTTCTACTTCTTTCTCTAACAAACTTTCTCCACATTGTATTCAATATATTTTTCATGGCTATGCATACGGGTATAAAGGTTATCATTGTCTTAAGCCTAAGTTTGATTGGATTTTTTTATTACTCGTCATGTCAAGTTTCATGAACATATTTTTCCTTTAAATTCACTAAGCTCTTGTTTGGTTCCTGCATCTATCTCTTCCACTCCATCTCCATTTACTCTCACCAATATCACTCGGTCAAACTACCGTCTTCCGCCTTCCCACCGGAGCTCCAGCAACATTCCCACCTTGGAACTTATGGTTCCGGTACAACGTCGGTTTGCGGCACACTCCCCTTCTTGTCCAGCATCGCCTCTACGAACCTAAACCCACCCTATCACCGATCGTAGTCACCTATTCCTAGCCCGTGCACCTCCGGTATCCCCCCGAGTAAAGTCCATCCCACCTTATTAAGGAAGGCTATATTGAGATTTTATGTTTAACATCTTTGAAATTGCCGATAGTTGAGAGTGACCCTCACAGTCGCCATAAAGAGGTTGATCAGTTGTTTTTAAGACATCTTGGAATCTCTCTCCTAATTCATAAACATAATACGGAACATAAGAGCTTGGATTCTTATCATCGTGAGGGACATTAGAGCTCTGGCCTTGGTGAGGATTATATAGTGGCTCGTCATTATGGATAAATTGTGAGGTTGAAGCACCAAATATATCATAGACCATATGATGGTCCCATAACATTTGATCATAATCTTCCCATTCACCCATTTCATTAGGAAAATGACGAGACGAACCTACTGTTTGTGGCAAAAGTGATGGGTCAAATGGTTCGTCTTGAGAAGTCCAATTATAATAATTTTCAACAAAGTCTCTCGTCCACAAATGTCACTCAACATTCTCAGAAGAAAGGTATTTAAGTTTTTTACACTTAGTGCAAGAATGTCTTATTCTATCACCATCCTTATATTGTGTTTGTCCGAGTGCAAAAGCGATAAATTCATCAACACCAGCAAGAAATTCTTTTCGATAACCTCTATTTTCATCATATCTATTGTACATCTAACTTCTAATTTTTTTATACAGTATACCTGAATATATTTGATGTATTATATTATAAAAAACCTCATTGCAACACTAACATTATTCATTACTTAAAGGTAATATATAATGAACTATAAATAATGATACTATTATTTAACGGCATAAATATATACTCTGTGTTATTTATACATGTCCATTTTACATCCAATTTATAATTTGTCTATATATTTGATGTACTATATTAAAAAATAGCTTCAACCAATTCCTACACTAACATTGATTATATTACTAAAAGTTAATATATATTCAAAAAACTTATGTACATGAAATTAAACAATAATAAAAGGACTAATCAATTCCTATATATAATGGTAGAATTATTTAACGACATAAATATATATAATTTACACATGTTCATTTTACATTCAATTTATAATAATATATCTCTCTAAATATATGTGTGTGTGTGATGTATTATATTAAAAAATAGCTTCATTCAATTCCTACACTAACATTGATTACTAAAAGTTAATACATATTCAAAAATTTAAATACATGAAATTATACAAAAATAAATGGACTAATAATTAACTATATATAATGATACAATTATTAACGACATAGTATAAGTATGGTATGAAACTAGCTAAAATGGCAAGTATATATAGAAAAATTTGTGAAGGATTTTGTTAGGGATTTTATGAAACGGTTTCATTTGTCACGAGTGTTGTCACGGATGTGTAGCGGTCAAAATTTCACTTCTAATGTTAACTTTTGACACGGAAAAATATGTGACAAAACTGTATAATGTAAAATCGTTTTGTTTTTTGTTAAAGTTCATGGTTCTAGGTTTATTGCGATGATTGAGGTTTCAGCTAGATTAGATATGGTTAGTGGGAGACGGATCTATCTGTTCGGCAATAGCTGCATTAAACCCGTCTGGTGGTTAACAATTCGTATTGCTCCTTTAGAGTGATGGTCTCTATGTCTAATCGTAGGATTATAAGTAGTAGTTGGAACTTGGAAGGTGAAAGTTGTAATCAATGTTTGATCATTTTGCTAATGATGTAACGATTCTAGATATCAATACACACCATTTTCTCTTCAAAAAATAAGAACGTAATATGTCTGCCATTTTAAGACATGTTCATTTACAACTATAGTTCCTGGAATTGCTTTGAGCCTTGCGCCTCATATCCCGATGAACAATTCTCAAAAGTAATTATCATTATTAGAGATATAAGCAGACATTCATTAATAAAGAAACTCAACCCGTTAAACTGCCAAAGGTTTATTTATATAATTAGCAAACATCATTACGAGCTTCTTAATTATTTGCAACTTGATCCGGAATCACTCCACATTCTTCATGTACAAAATATTTCATTCTTGCACGTCAAATCTAGATTCAGATGGCGATTTTAAATCGTAGAAAGAAAATCGATGCCCACATTCTGTGTGTTAAATTTGGATGACAAAATGGAGCTAGGGCCAGTTCTAAGGGGGCAAGAGGGGCTATCGCCCTAGGTCTGAAAAAATAGAAGCAAAAATAGATTCAAATCTTTTTCTTTATAGAATAGTGTATAGTTTGAGATGTTTTTTGTATTTTTAAGTTCAATTAATTAGACTAATGTTTAATTTTGTTGACAATTTGAAAATTTAAAATGTAAATAAAAAGTCCAAAACAGAGCCAAGCTAAAAAAAGAATATATACATTAATTTTAACTATGATCGGTTGTAATTTTTAAAATCAATACAATTGTTGATGCATCAATAAAACACACGCCTCTTCAGTCTTCACATCTCTTTAGCCTTTAAGGCTTTTTATTGATTTTAATTATAACATGAAACCTTTATATAATTACTCGTATTTTAGAGTCTATCTCTCACAAATCTCATCCCAATTATTTATTTGTTTCTAAATTTCAATAAACTATATCTGAGTTCCTAATAGTAGTTTTAGAGGACGTCAAATTGGCAGTCTTCTTGCGCGAGTATTATTGGCGACCAAACATTTTGTTTTTTGAAAACCTCCATTCTTTCGAGACTTCAATATTTAGACTCCTATTAACGGTCAATAAATCATTCTCAACTCATGAATTCAATATGTAGTACTACCTCCGTCCCAAAAAGGTTCGTCATATTGACTTTTCTTGGTCAATGATAAAAAAAATTTGGACAATGATTTTAATTATTATATTTGTATATAATTTATAAATTTTATACATTTATAAATATATATTGAATAAGGTTCATTTTGACATAATTTTCATATTCAAAAAATTTCGTATTGAAAAATTTATTAGTCAAAGAGTACTGTCATTGACCAAGAAAAGTCAATTTGACGAACCTTCTAGAGACGGAGAGAGTAATACTTTTTTTTCATTTATCCTTTCAAAAGAATGTTTAGTGTTGTTATATGTGGTAATTTTAATATTTGTCATATTTATTAGTGAAAAGAAAGTTGCCTATGAAGCAATTATTGATGATTTGTTTCACATTGTTCTACGAGAAATGATTTTTAGTAATGTTTTTTTTAACCGATACTCGTGTTGTTACTTTGGTTCAAATATGTAACTTAAATAATAATTAAGCGATTCTCGCCTTTATTTTATGAATTTCATTGGATAATTTCATTACAATTCATATTTCAAATAAGTATATCTTTTACTGTTTGTATTAAATATAAGCCGAGAATAGGGTACATAAATTCTTGGTATATATACACAGCCACATAGGATACATTGCACGCTCCCAATAAAGTATAGTACTCGTGCTTAGCTTTCTGGCCAATATGGACGATTTCACGATGCTGCCGGAGGGATGCATCTCTGAAATCGTTTCCTTCACTTCGCCGGCCGATGCATCGGCGTTGTCCGTCATCTCCAAACGCTTCAAATCGGCAACTGAGTCAGACACCGTATGGAAGAAATTTTTGCCGTCTGATATTGATGAAATCGTCTCAAAATCATCCGCTCCCTTTGATTTGCCACCCACCAAGAAGGAACTTTATATGTTCCTTTCTCATTCCCACATTTTCCTTGATGGAGGAAAGCTGGTAATTGCATCCTTATACAGTTAACACCCTGCATTTTCAATCTCTGCTTAAATTGCTTTTCTTGAAAACGATGTCTTTCTGTTGTTTTTCTGGTACCCTTTGAAATCTTGAAAACAGGGTCTTTTTCTGGATAAAAGAACTGGAAAGAAATGTTTCAGAGTTGCAGCCTCAGAACTTGTTTTCACCCACAGGAATGTCACAAATCGCATGTATACGGAACCAGAGCTATTATGTTCCAGGTTATTCGCTGCACATGTTCTTTAACTTTAAGAAAGACAGGTTATAAACTCGTCTTAAATAACACATTTTTAATATGGTTAAAAGGCACTCTGATGTTGCTGTAATCAAGTCACATGATCGCGAGTATGACATTTATGGGAGAATGAGCAGTGAAAAGTTATCTGAAGAAACACGCTACTCATCCTATTTGGTGTTCAAGCTATCAGCGCCTTCAGCGGAGCATGTCTACATCACGCTCTCATTCTGGGGAGTGTGTAGATTTGTTGACAATGAGGATAAAGATGTGGCCGAAATGAGATCTCGGTTTTATAATTTTGGATTTCCCGTTGTTAGAGACGATGGATGGTTGGAGGTGGAAATTGGGACCTTTTTCAACGCTGGAGGGAATCGAGGTGATGTTGAATCATGTTTGTTTAATGTCGTTACTGGGTACGGCCGATTCCTTACTGTGCGAGGGCTTGAAATTCGGCCAGAAATTATTTTTGGAGGTATGAGTGATTGGGGATTTTCTAAAGAATTTTTGGAAGTAAAAGCCGATTTCTAGCTAGAGATTTTAATGTATTACATTCGATGGGGTGTATCCATCTACTATCAGGACATGTTGAATCTCATTCTCGTAATTGCTTGGAAATCTTATGTTTTGGTCATCGTTTTTTTCAATTATATTTATTTTAGTAATAAATCCGTCATTTTGGTAATTGTTTTAGACTTTTAGTGTAATTTCATCAAAATTTAGTGATAACTATATCCTGATTGTGTGGCACATGCATTTTGATGGTCTCTTTACTAAAAAATTGTTTGATGCGTACATACTTTTTGATAATTTGTAAACGCTACTCCCTCCGTCCCAATTTGTTTTGCAAAATTTCCTTTTTTGGCTGTCCCAAAATGATTTTCCACTTTCTATTTAAAGTATGTAAGCATGAACAAAATGACTGGTCTACCCTTACTTTTACCTTACACGTTTTCTACTCCCACCCACCCCATTTACAGAAGAGTAATCAATTTCAACCTACCATCTTCTCTCCCCTCTTCAATTACATGCTCTTCTCTCCCCTCTCACTTCGTATTCCGCTTCTCCCTTCCATGTCCACGTCTTTTATCTCCCACCAACACCTCTCTTCAACTTCTCCATCTCTATGAATTCAAATCTGAAATATTCTGCGATGATTCTCAAAATATTCTGCGATGAATTCAACACCTCTCTCCATCTCAGCCAACGAGACTCCTTTGGTCAGTGAATTCTGCGATGATTCTCAAAAGTCTAGGGTTTTGTGGTGAAGACGATGAAGGACAAATTGAAGGTGTAGGGTCTTGCAATGAAGACGGGAGGTTCAATGACGAAGGGTTTCTCCTCCAATGATGTAGTGCTTCATCAAGCTTGTTGCCTGGCTGGGATCCAACAATGCGAAACATATCGGTATATATGCTTGCCTCTTTAACTTGATTATGTTCTAAAAATTGGCTTAAATTTGTTGATGTTTCACCTCTTTAAGCAGTTTAGTGCACTCAACTTTTTGATGTCGAATTGGTTGACACTCAAATGTGCTAATTTTGATCTGTGGACGCAATTTTATGTCTTTGGGTGCCAATGTTACTGAACCGAGTGCCAATTTTTAGTGTTTTGTTGTCATTTTTTAGAAGTGCATTGAAGTAAATGTAGTTAAAACTAACTTTAGAAATACAATTTAGAAGTGTATTAAAGATCAGAGTGTGATTTAGTTAAGTGGAACCAGATTGCATTGAGATCTTTAAAGAACATTCAAAGAACATTCAAATGAAAGAGTAAAAGTAGATTACCTTAAAACAACCACACATTTAAATTGAGTAACCTGCTCCATCTAAACCAGTTTTCTAAACTACACTGAAACAAAATGTACCCTTTAAACAAAAAAGCATTCCATAATACAGCCTTCTACAAACAAAATATAGGCTGCCAACACACAAAATGTACCTTTAACAAGAAAAGGTTACCTAATGTAGGCCTATAAACAAAATGCAACCCTTCTATGTGCTGTAAAAGTTCAGATTTGAATATCAGTGGGATATTCAGACATGAACTCCATTTGTACATTTCCTGTCTCTTCACTTGCTGCCATTTCTATTGGCCTTTGCAAATGAGCAATTGATTCTTCAACCAAAATAGGATTAACTGAAATCACATTAGGTAGAATACCTTGTCTTTCCAGTCTTCCTTTTCCCATGTGAGGCAGCTTGTATCTGTTGTGACCTTTGCATTTTAGCACCTCTACCATAACATGTTGCAATGTGATCCACACACGATTCAAATTTCTTGAATCAAGCTCATCAAATGATTGTTGTACATGATTGACTAAGTCATCAATATTTTTTGAGCTTTTTTGATGTTTTTGTGAATCAATAGCTCTAAACCATCCTAGATCTAGCACATTTAGATCAGGACTATTAGGAGGTTGACATGTTAATTGAATGTCCCATTCACCTTCTGTTGCTTCCTTCACAAAGTCTATGTCATCACACTCTATATGTGGCTTAGCATTATCTTGCTGGATTATTATGCGCTTGACAGCCCCTTCTGGCCATTTCTGTTTGAGGGCAGGTAGTATTTTCTCGATCATAAACTGTTTAATTACCTCCCTTGTGATGCTCGCAATAGGCTTTGTAACTAGAGTTCCTCTTGATCTATTTCTACTGTTTCTTTTTGCTGTATCTTGATAAGTGAACGGGAAAATCCCAATCTTTCCATCCCACAAGACCTCCCCTTTTCTCCTATTTTAGGTCTTGCGACAGCCGCTAAAAACATTACCTTAGAAATGAACCTCTTACTTTGGACTGCCCTATATGGGTCAGGTTCATCAGGTTGCATATAGAAATGTTCAACTTCATCGGTTAAGTAGAACCATTTCTCATCTATGTGGATATACTCACTGAAATCGTGAAATGTAGGATTTGATGGAATTGTATGATGAATTAAATGGCTTAAACAGAACTCCATTCTTTGTCGCATACCTTTTTCTGTTAAAAATGGTTTGACTGCATTTGAGTGCCTCTTGATTGCCTTCTCCTTGACAAGTCTGTGTAGTGTAGATCGGGCATCATTCAATTCTACGACAAGTGACCTCAAGGTGCTTCTTCTTCGAAGCGGGATGTCTTTAATTTTTTCGATGTTAATGTTACTTCGCTTTCGCCCAACATTTCCTTTTAACTTAGTCTCCAAATCAACTGCTTTCCCCGCTTTTATTTGCGCTTGGAATTTCTGCCAAATATACTGTGCGTGGTGATATATTGAACAAAACACCTGCATCTTTAAGTGTTCCTTTCTTCAATTTTCCGTTCACTTTGTTAGCTAAAAGCATCTCAATAACTTTGTGCCTGTCCATTCCATTTAAAACAGTGTGCTTCTTTGCAAAATCTTGGTCTTGAAAAATGACTACTGTGTTTGCAGTCTGGACAAAAGGAGTCACATGGGGGGGGGGGGGGGGGCAAGGGATCTGGAGATGAAAAGAGTTGTAACTCAGTTGATGGGGGTACATGAATATCCTCAGCCATTTCAAAGAAGTGCAGAAAAGATGGAAGATTAGAAGAAGAGAAGCTGTATTCTGAGTTTTGTTTTTTGACAGCTGAATGTCTTGGTGGGAAACTGAATTGAATTTTGGTAGCTGACTATTTATCCATGTACTCCGTAGTCTGTTTTGTGTGTAATATGGTGGGAAACCAAAATGTTTAAGTTTCATTTTGAGTGTTTCGTATTGTTTCCCTCCCTCTTGGGAAATTATTTCCCTTTTGGCCACATCAAAAAGTAGATTTGACACTTGTATAGACCGTAGCTTTTGTACCTTCTTTCAGCATATGTAATGCTTCCTACAGTTTGTGGGTACGATTAAAGTGCTTTTAATTGTACTTTTTTACCTTTTCAGTTTCTTCTTTATTTTATGAGACAAGGGCAAAATAGGAACCTCAAAATAAATTTCTAACCTTTCTTAATCCCCGTGTCGGTCAAAATTTGCACCTCAATTCGGGACGGAGGGAGTAATATTTTAATGAATATTCTTTTGTTCTCTAAATATTCTATTCGTAAAAAGTACTATGTATTTAGCAAATCATAATCATGTGTGTCATAAAAGAGGGTGTACTCTTGTACTAATGAAAAAATCAAACTCTTGACGAAAAACACATATTCTCGTAACATGTATCTAGGAGTAATCAAGTGAGATTTCATTATCTAAAAAATTATCACAATAACACCTTCAACAATCTCAAGTATATCTTGAGGCCGGAAAAAAACTCTAGCATGTAAGAGTAGCTCCACCCCTACACCATCACAAATCTTAAATGTATTCTGGTGGCCTATAGCAAATTAATTACATGAGCGGATTTGTTCAGAGGGTTGGAGGAAGATGCTTAGTAAATGAATTGTTTACTTGTAGCTGTTATTAGATAAAAAGACAAAAAATTATTATAAAAGATTACAACTATGGTACCCAATTAAAAAATGGGATCCCGTACTTATTCATTTGAGTGGTCCAAAGAAAAAAAGTACATATAATATCCAGGATCACAGGAAGCGTAGATTTGGAAACTTCTAGTTTGCATTTCACACACTAATACTCCGTATTATATTCTAAACTACACGAAATACTTGTGCGATGCACGAAAATTCTAGAGTTAAAATTATATTTTATACAGTATTACCCCGAGTATAACTTTGATTGTGTAATGTTAGTTTACACAAAATGAATAAGTAGGTCTAGGGATGGACCCGGGCCGGTCCGGTTCCGATTCCAGGCCGATCCGGTTCTGGTTCTGGGCTGGTCCGGTTCCGGGCTGGGCCCGGGCGGGCTTTTTTTATAGTAACATGGGCCCGGAACCGGCCTGGGTAATAGCGTGTCCGGTCCGGGTCGTGCCTACCCGGCCGGGTAGTGGGCCAGTTCGGGCCGGGCCCGAGCTATTTAATTTTTTTTGTTTAAATATTAAATTAAGATTTGTTGGACATAAAAAATTTAAAATATACTTATTTGAAATATGTAGTACAATTGGAAATTGAGCAAAAATTAAAACATGAAATACACTTTAATTTGAGAAGATGAATATGGAAAAGATTAGTAGAGATTAGAGATTAGAGAGTTGGAATATGTGGAGAAGATGTGTAGTAAATTATATAGAAAAAATGGAGTATTTATAGATTTTTTGTACCCCACCCCACCCCTAACCCACCCCAGGACCCCCTGGAAGGCTTCCAACGGCTATATAGCCGTTTGGGTTGAATTACAACGGCTCTAAGGCCTGTTTGAATGGCCAAAGATTTTTTTTTTAAATTTAGCCGTTAGGCCTGGACCGGGCCCGAACCGGCTGGGCCGGGCCGCCTATTTCATGAACTGTGCCCGAACCGCTCCCCTCCCCCGGGCCCGAACCGGCTGGGCCGGGCCGCCTATTTCATGAACTGTGCCCGAACCGCTCCCCTCCCCCGGGCCTGGTCAAAGCCCGAACGTCCCATTACTTACCCGGGCCGGGCTGGGCCCGCACAGTAGCGGGACAGGTCGGGCCCGGTTTGGTCCATGAGTCCATCCCTAAGTAGGTGGCACGAAGAATTGCTTTGAGCCCTACGCCTCATATCATATCCCGATGAACAATTCTCAAAAGTAATAATTATCATTATCAGAGATATAAGCAGACATTCATTAATAAAGAAACTCAACCCGTTGAACTGCC